TAAGGGGACCAGTTGGAATCAGAAGCTCACACTGTATAAATTTAACAGGTGAATCCTGCTCTGTTTGATTATTAAGAAAGTCTACATAGGTAGAAGAGTTTCAGTCTGATGCTACATGTTATAGTAGATAATCATAGAATCACCAAGACTGGAGAAGACCCCCAAGGTCATCCAGTTCAACCATCTACCTCCCACCAATATTTCCCCACTAAACCACGTCCCTCAGCTCAACATCCAAACATTTCTTGAACACCTCTAGGGATGGTGACTCCACCATCTCCCTGGGAAGCTCATTCCAGCACCTGACCACTTATTTGGAGAAGAAATTTTTCCTAACATCCAATCCAAACCTCCCCTGAAGCAACTTGAGGCCATTCCCATTTGTTCTGTTGCTAGTTACGCAGGAGAAGAGGCCAATTTCCACCTCACCACAACCTCCTTTCAGGTCATTTTAGAGGGCAGTAAGGTCTCCCCTGAGCCTCCTCTTCTCCAGGCTGAACAATCCCAGCTCCTTCAGCTGCTCTCCATAAGACTTGTGCTCCAGACCCCTCACCAGCTTTGTTGCCCTTCTCTGGACACTCTCCAGAGCCTTAATGTCTTTCTTATAGTGAGGGGCCAAAACTGAGCACACAGTACTCAAGGTGTGATTTCACCAGGGCTGAATACAGGGGGGTGGTTGATTTCCTTGTTCCTGCTACCTGCACTGTTTCCATTACAAGCCAGGATGCCATTGGCCTTCTTGGCCACCTGGGCACACTGCTGGCTCATGTTCAGCCAAGCATCAACCAACACCCTCAGGTCTGTTTCCTTCACACGTAATCCATTCACACCTGGAAAATTCTCCTTTGCAGATCTAAAGGAAATTAATGATAGTTCTTCTTAACATTGCAAAATTATTGGTTGAGTTGTTTCTAGTTACTCAGAACTGAAACATTAGCAAAGCAATTTTTACCTATTGAATTCAAATATGATTGACGGACCAGGAAGCTCCTCCTCTGTGCTTCATTCATAGCTAATGATTTTTCCTTCCTAAAATCATCATGAAGATTATAATGACCTTTGAAAGGAGGAATTCATGCAAAGCAGCCCCCAGTGCTCTTTAGGCTTAAGGGCAACCTCAGAAGAAGGCAGAGTTAAGAGTCTGCTGGGGCTTTAGTTTTGATTGCCAGATAAATAGAAGGGGCAGGACTTGTGCATTTAGTCCACCCCTTGGTTTAAACAGCAACATGACAAGTTACGTGAGGGGGAGATGCATGTTGGAAGAGTTCACCTGAGATGTCTTGGTCCTGGGGCAAAGAATGGCAGGATAGAAAGGTCAAATATCCTGACCACATAAATGCCTCTTTGGCTACTTAATAGAACAGCATAGGCACTTGGCACAAAGGCAGCAGCATGCTTCAACTTCTCAGCTGGAGGAATGGCCCACAAGCACTGTCATCGTGGAGCACAGCAGATTATTAGAGGAATAAAGACAAAACTGTGCTTGATTTCCAGAATGGAGGGGCTGGAAATCCTCGTGACCCTGTCAGGGCTTTTCTGTTCTTAATGGGTCTGCCACAGAGAAGACTGTGTTTGAACAGTGGAGGGGTGCTGCTCCTGGGGAAGAGTTCAAAAGCACTAGCTCAGGAGCATTAATAAAAGTATTTCCCACTGTTTATTCATCAGAACTTGAAAGTAATAGCTACTGCAGAGCTCAGTGGCAAAATCTGTACATTTATGTCATAAAATACAGATATCTCACTTCTAGAAGCTGGTAACAGTATTTGTTGGGAAACGGGTGAATTTGTTAAGATAACTAGTTTCTGGTATAAGCAGTCCCCAAAAGGGGGCTTAATGCTTATTTCTAATCTCCTGGAAGATTGTACAAATGAACAAAATGAGGTTAATCACCAAGGAAAATCACCAATGAAGCAATACATCTTTTGTTAAGTATTAATTATAATTTATTTGCTCCCATCACAGAATTTACAGGGTTCTCATGAATCGAGGATTAATTCAGAGGTTTTTTATTTACTGTACTTTTTTTTTTTTATTTATTTTATGTACTCTGAATGGATCCCCTCTTAATTGAAAGTGAATGAATTCATTCTGTATCAGCTTTCTGCTTGAAAATAAAATCCTTTGTAAAAGATCTGGCAATCTTTGTCAGAGAAATCGAGGCAGAGTGAAACATTTGATTGTACAAGCTGTTAGAGCCTAATGAGTTCTGCATTTAGACACTTGCATGCTGGTTTTTTTTTCACTTGATCCTGCAGTAGCATAGCAGTTTACGCATTTAAATGTGCAAGACTTGTTCGGGAGGAAGATTTGTAATAAGAGAAAGCAGCGTGTTCCATCGTTTTAGTATAGCATCTGTTATTATCATTCAGTGCTGCTCTTAGCCCAGCATGCCCTTCCTCTAAATATCTTATTAATTAAACTGGCTTAGTAGGAAAATAATTAATACTTTCTGTTCTATGCCTACTTAGAAAGGATTTGGAAACTGAAAAAAAGATTGCTTTCATCTAAGCTTCAAACTGGCGTGGTTTGATTTGGGTTATGGGGGGTTTGATTCTCCTTTTGCCATTCTGGATTAGAAACAGATTACAACTAAAAGGAGATGTGTGAAAGAACCTATGTATTTAGTCTTCTGAAAATTTAGATTGACTGCTAGGTGAACTGCAAAATAATCTGTGTTTGTGAGAATTCTTGCCCTATATTTGAGTATGTTGCTCTGTGACAGTTTTGGGAAAGTTGCTCCTCTGCTTCTGCATAGTATTCACTTTAGGACTCAGACCCCAGAAGTATTACTGGGTTTCTTACTGCTGCTTTTATAATGTGATGGGATTGCCTGGCTACAAAGTCAGCAGTAATTGTGCTGCATAACTAGCTGAGTGTTCTCAAGGCAAAAGGGTGGGATGAGGAACGCCAGTGGGTGCCAGTGCCTGTGCAAAATGACAGACATGTTTGTGTCCTCGGTGGTTGACTTTGATGGCTTGACCTACACACCCCAGGGGGTCTGTACCTTTTGTTGGCCATTCTCACCTGGCTTATTTCTGTATGGTGTATGAAAACCAAGCATCTTGTATGGAAATCTATCTGCTTGTATACAACATATGGTTCTACTCCTGCAGTCATGTGCTCGGATTTGTATGTAAAGCGTGAGTCTGTTACTTTGCTATTTCTGGTGAAGTTCAGAAATAGCAGAATTTGCCTCTCTCTTTGTTTTGTGAAGAATGCTGCTGGCCTACAAACAGAAACTGCTGCTTTGCTGCTGGTTTGCCCTGCTTAATTGCCCTCCAACCAACACAAGCTGAGTGCTCTACTCTGTTTGCATTTGGGGAAAATTACTGTTTCTCAGACTTATTGGAAAAGGAGTTCAGTAAGGCCAAATTAGTCTTTAAAGACAGGATTTTAATGATCTCTGTGGTGGGAGAAAGCTCGAAGATTGGCTGTAGCTTGTTTTGACTTTTTTTTTTTTGGAGGGACTGATGGTGGCTGTTCTTAGAGAAGAAGCTTTAAATGCCATACCAGAACAAGGCTGTTTGGATGCAAGGAAAAGACAGATGGACGGCCAGTCTACAAGGCAACTCCGCAGGCTGATTGCTGGGGTGTCTATCTGTCAAAAGCATATTAGAAATCTAAGTTCTGCTGAAAGGCAGTGAGGTGCCTAAAGCACTTCTTAAACTGGGCTGTTACAGTAAGAGCTTCAGAAATAAAACTGTGCCACACGGCGGGCCAATGGGGCTTGTACTGCCATAATTCTGATTGATGTTGAAGCTCAGAGGGTGTGTTCAGAAGAAAGCAGGGGTTTTATTAGCTACAGATTGTGTCTGCTGGCTTTCTCAGTCCTAAAGAATACATGTTCAAAGCCGATCTTAAAAATGGGGAGATCTAAATTGACATTATGGAATTGAATGCTTTATAAATCAGCACTGCCTTGTTCGTGCTAAGCCACTCGTATCTGACAGCAAATAAACTGCAATGAATGCAGTGTGTCAGTGTAAGCACAGCTAATTCACCAAGTATATTGTGTCCCTCTGAGAACAGAGAGCAGCCAGCAGCGCCGGAAAAGGTTACATCCTCGTGTTTTCAGGGGCAGAGTGTTTTGGAGCCCCTATTGCTTTAAATCTGCCTTGGGCAGACTGAAGAAGCAAAGTCTCAGTTCATCTGTGTGTGCATCTGCGCTGTGTCTGATAGGGGAGCATATGGCAGAAGTGGTTCACCCTTAACTGTGCCTCTTTTTTGGCAAGCACGAGCCTGTTTCTCGGAGAGCGCACACAGCCACAGCCCCTCCTGCACATCACTTCTCGTGCCCCTTGCTTGCTGCCTTTCAGCAGTTCGCCTGAATCCATGTCCTTTGTGATGTTTTGGTTAATTGGACATTGTTTTAATTACTGCTGAACTAAACAAACATGAAATTTCTATCTGTCATCTTGCTGCCCCGGTGACCACAGTCTCCAAGCAGCAAATATAGGACCCAGGCTGTTGAGCCCTGGTGTTAAATTACTGTCATGGAGTGTCATTTGTTTGTACTTATTTTGGGGAAAACACCCCTCCAGGGAGAAGACTCCATTAAACAGCTCATTTTTGGCACAATCCCAAATGCCTTGTTCTACTCTCATTGGAGCTAGTAGCAAATTACTCTTGTCTTCAGGGCACCAGCGGTGCCAGTACTCTTCCATGGCCAGAGGACAATCCACAGCCAATCCACAATCCAGTCTTTCTCCATTATCTTTCACATTACTTTCTTTTTTACCTTTCCCTCACAGACATTTGCATTATTTTTTTGTTCTCTCTTTACTAGCAAGAAACACTTGGTCATGTATCCAAATGGGAATTGAGACATGCCCTCAAATGAGCCAGTCTGTAGATGTTTCTCTCAATATGAGCCTTACTTCAAAACCAAGGAGTTTCTTTGGGCTTTTGACTCATTTGCCACTGACTGTAAATGGAGAAGAAGTGTTTTGAAACATTTCCTTTCTTTTCTGTTAATAATCCCCCTTCTCCTTTGCTTTCAGCTTTGGAAAGAAAGATATCAATGAGGCAAAGCAGAGAGGAGCTTATAAAACGAGGAGTGCTAAAGGAAATCTTTGATAAAGGTAAGCGTTCTTCTTTTCACGATGTTAAATTGACATCCCATATAGCTTTATGGACAGATCTCACTTTGTCATAACATTAAGAACTGGCAATACCATCTGGAATGGCAGAACTGTACAGAATAAGGTCTCCAAACATCTCTTGGTGGATCTTGCAAATAAACTTGTAAGCTAATCAGAAAGTAAAGCAGTAAAAATATAAATCACAACACTGTACTGTAGTCACCTGCTGCAAAACAGCAAGGCATCCCGACTGAGGGGAGATGGAATGGGTCTCTGCATGCATTTATTATCTCTGGTTGAGTCACTGTAGGATTAATGGTTGTGGAGAAGAGAAATGTTTTTAAGGTTTGGGATTGTGTGATGAGCATAGAACACTTGAAACAACCCAGAATACATAATAATAATATTTCCCCATTCAGAATTATTCATTTGTTGAGTTGGTGATGTATTACTTATGCAAAACACCATTATTTTACACAGGTAGCATAACGAATAATTGATATCACATATTTGTGAGTACTTAACTCCAGCTTTTGTTTGTTTGCTGCTTCTCTTGTTAGTAACTAAGGCAATTAATTAAGCAAACTGTATTGGCATGCCAAGGTTGTATTTTAATTTCGGTAGAACTTAGGTATGTACTTTGATGCCTCATTAATTCCAAGTCTAGAAGTGTTTAACAATACCACAACAAAACCTGGTAAAAGTCAATCAAAGTTATAAACTTCCAGAGTTTTTCTAAGTAGGATCTATGTTAGAAAATCTGGACCATTTAAATCTACTTTGATCTAGCTTGTTGGGAAAGAAGAGATGATGCAAAAATTTACTAATCCAAACAAAATCAATGTGCAGCTTGTGATTACTTTCTGTGGTTTTCATCTGTTACCTATTCTAGATGTTTTTTTTTAATCCTTTGAGGATGCCTGAGCTCTTACTATGGCTAGCTGTCTTGAAAGTCATCCTAGATGCAAGTGCAGAGTAGAAACCACAACTGGCCAAAGATTTTCCCTTTTTGATGCCTTGGTTTTTGCACTTTCTGGACAGTGACTTGGATTGAATGTGCAGCCAGGTGTCTCCATTGCCAGCAAGGCTCCTGGTTCAGCACCCTGGGGAGCTTGGAAGTCAGCTTCTGGTCATCCCTACACTCACCTTCATAAAATCTCTCCTGTGCAACTTGATCCTGTTCTCTGCCTTGAAACTCAGGAAAATTCTCCTTTCTCTCCTGCAAAGGGCTGCAGTAGTCTGTAATCTTCTTTGTTGCCTGGTGAAGTAGGCATTATGTTGTCTGGAGGTCCTCATCATGGAAACAAACAAAAAAATCTCCTCTTTTTGTAGTCATTTTTCACCTTTTCATATCAGAAAGACCTAGTATGAAATACGTGCTGCCTTTTCCTATTTCCAGTACAAGATGTAGAGACATCAGACTTTTATTGTCAGGTGCAACTAAATGGGAAACTGTCACTCAACACAGTTAGATGTCTAATTCAGTATCTTCACCTTACTTCCTGCTGTTTGCAAACACAGAAAGCTGTGAAGTTTTTAAGGAGTCCTTCCTTGAAAGAAGCAGAGCAGAGGGGAAGATAGTTGCATATAGGTATAGCAGTGCTGATCACGTATGATTTAAGAATGTAAGTAAGGCAAAATGTGTAGAGGAAAAGTAACATTTTCTTCATTGATATAGCAGGACAAGCATAGTTCTCATAAAGGGTATTATATCTCGCTGCAAACCTTACACAGAAATAACATTTTCCTTGTACTTCCTGATAGCTAATCTCCAATACTTTGTGGAAGCGCAGCACTTCATAGCAGAAAGCTTTATTTGATGGTTGTTTCTATGCTTTCTACGCCAAGAATCATCTTGCACAGACAACACATGGAACCAGTGCTAAATCTCTGCCTTTCCAAAGAGGAGACCAAAGCTGAGGAGTGATTATTTTGCCTTTTTCTTTCTTAAACAGATTAAAGGAAACCATACAGATAGACTGACATAAGAACAGAAATTCTGAAACTGCAGTGTACTTAGTGTTATTTTATCATCTATGCTGAAGAAAACCAGAATTAGACAGCCAGTTTGTTCTCCTGTTGTTTAGTGACTCTCTGACCGGTTTGCCTTGAGATTTGCTGGCTTTTCAGGTGACTGTGTCATCCAACAGGTGAGAGCTAACAGGGCACAGTAGGTCACAGTGTTCACACATAGAAGAGTCACTGCATTCCAGCTGCTATTTTTGGGAAACAATAAATGATTTTATTATTTCGGTGACCCTCGTACTTAAACTGTTGAAGTGAAACCACTCTAGACTGAAGTGCAGGGAGCTCATTTCTTGGCAAGGTCCAGACTCATGCCCAAATAACTTTTCCTTCTTTTATAGGTTCTGTAACTTGAATCTTCTGAAAATATAGGCAAAGTCTGTATTTATTTCAAATACAGTGTACTTTTAGAAAAACAGCACACTGAAGAAGTATCTGATTAGATGCGTTCCATTCTAATAGTTTGTGGACTGGCAGAGCCAAGAGCTCAAACAGTGAGCTCTTTTCATCAAAAGATGAATAGCTTTGATTTGAACATCAAACTGTAACCATTTCAAAGGCGACTGTATAGAGTTGCCCAGTGTGCTATGATACCAGTCAAAGAATTAAACGGACTGGTAGTGTTTTCATACCTCTTCTTTAATCTGAATATAAACAAATTTTCCTGTAGTGGGAAATTTTGAATGTGTATACTGATCATTTGCTTCACAGATAATAATGCAATGATTCCTCATGGGTGACCTTCATCTTCGTATTTTTGTACTGTCCATCTGAACAAAATGAGGTTTTAAAACCCATATTTCAAATTACCTATGTCCTGTCAGGATTTGAAAGTGTTGTGTGAATGATAAACAACAAACAACAGAGCTCAGTGTTGCATCTCCTTGGCATGGATGTGCCCCACCTTCCTACCCTTCACCATCAAGAATAATTTCCTAGCTGTTCTTACTTGAAAGCAGGCCCGTACTGAGAAGACAACTAAAAATGGAAAGTGACATGGGATGTAGAATTCTCTGTATCATTTTCACTTCCTTGGTCATTTATCCGTGGAAGGAGCTCATGAGCTTGACATTTTTCAGTCATACCAGAAGTTCTCTATTCCAAGGTGTTCAGAATCAAAAGATACGGTGATAAGGCAGGCAGAGCTCCAGAGGAAGGAAACAACAAAAAGACTGGTCTGTACCACCTAGGCACTGTCCACATGCAAATTGGGCTGCTTCACACTAAGACATTTTCGAGAAGTACCAAAAGTGAATCTGGTGAATGAGTTCCTGAGTACAAATCATGCTTAATCATAGAATCACAGAATCATAAAGGCTGGAAAAGGCCTCCTTTCATCTCATCCACTAAGCTGTGCCACATCTATATGTTTCTTGAACATATCCTGGGATGGTGACTGCACTGCTCCCCAGGGAAGCCTGTTTCAATGTTTTATCACTCTTTCTGAAAATAATCTTTTTTCTAATATTCAACCTGAACCTCCACAGCACAATTTGAGGCTGTTCCCTCTCCTCCTATCTCTAGTTACCTGACAGAAGAGGCCAACCTCCACTTCTCTACAATGTTCTTTCAGGTAGCTGTATAGAGCTATAAGGTCTCTCAGCCTCCTCTTCTCCAGATTAAGCAATCCCAGTTCCCTCAGCTGCTCCTCATAAGACTTGTGTTCCAGACCCTTCTCAGCTTCACTGCTCTTTGGGCACACTCCAGGGCCTCGATGTCTTTCTTGTAGTGAGGGGTTCAATACTGAACACAAATCAAGGTACAGCCTCACCAGTGCTGAGTACACGAGGACAATTTCTTCACTAGTGCTGTTGGCATTACTGACCATTACTGACTGGTGCTGTTGTATACTGATACAAACCAGTATGCTCTTGGCCTTCTTGGCCAAGATGATCTGCTTCATAACCTTCCATGATACCAAGGTCGGGTTGACAGACCTATCATTCCCCAGATCCTCCTTACGACCCTTCTTGTAAATGGGAGTCACACTGACAGTTCTCCAGTCATCTGGGAGCTTCCCAGTTGACGAGGTCTGTTGATAAATGATGAAATGTTGTTTGTCAAGCGCTTTTGCCAGCTCCATCAGTACCCTGGAGTAGATTCCATCTGGCCTCGTGAACGTGTGATAGTCTAAGAATTACACTAAGCTGAGAGTTCAAACCCTCATCCTTCAGTAGATAGGACTGGTGCTCGGTGAGCAGTCCAGCTGCTAGGCCCAACAAGCTCCCAGGGTCCACCTCTTTTGAGCATAACATCTCCACATTTCTGAGCCTTCACCCCATATTGTTTTTTCCATATGCAAAGGTGAACCAACAAGTCTGGGTTGAGTTTTCTGCATTGGAGAATTTTCTCTGAGGTTCTGCTTCTTCCATGGCAGGGTGCAGGATCAGCAGGGCAGCATCCTTCACGTGCTCATTTTGCTGCAGATTTCATGTTGTTCACTTTGGTCCCTTCCAGATCAAACTGACTCATGCATCTAAGGAAAATCTTTTTCCAGTTAGAAACAGCAGGCTCTGAGAAAATGCAGCAAAGAATTTAGCGAGCATGAGAACAAAATATTACGTTATCAATGTGCAAAATTAACTTTAAACTCTTAGTCAGTTCCTTAAGACTAATTGATTCATCCATATATATCATAATTGCATTACTAGAATTCTTTTCATTTGTATGTCAGCTAACTAACATAGCTTTTAGTGCTTTAAAAATAGCAATTAATTTGCCGTTTATATCTGATTGTCAAGCATGCCTCTGATCCAGGATTAATTCACATTGAGAGATTCTTCACTCTACAAATGATGATTTTATCTGTGTTTGATCTGTTTTCTGTGTTTTAGCAGCTCCCTTTGTAGCTTTAAGCAAGCTCAAAATTCAGGTATATGTTTCAGTCATCATTTTGTGTCGTCTGATCATTTCAGTCAAATGGGAGGATGATTTTTAGAGTCTAGATGAAGATTAGAGATGTTTGGAGGGAAGATTAACATAAGTTATGCTGTCAATACAGAGAACTGTCATGCTTGTTATTATGTTGGAAAATGAAAGTCAAAACCTTATCTGATGTTTTGCTTTGCTGAATATACCTTGAGAAGTGCAAAGTGCATTTAAGACTGTAAGATCAACGTGTTACAATTGGCATCTCACTTCATTAAAATATGTAGATATCCTTAAAGAAAAAAATCTTTCTCTTAGGTAAGAATATTGGTTAAATTTAGTCCTGTGCTGAAATTAGTAAATGCTGCTGGATATAATCACTGTCTTTGGTTCAAAAAGCAGTTATTCTGCTCAGTAAATAGTTACGGTCTGTCATGAAACCATGCATCTGAGATAACAGCAGCCTTTATCCTGACCACCGTGAAGGGGCGTGTTTATAAAAGGGAGACAAATCAAGAACAGGATATATAGTATTTCCACTGAAACAGCTAAGTCAAAAAAACATTCATCTTAAATGTTGGCTGAACTGTTGTTAGATCTTTGCTGTCTATGGAAATAAGGTGGTTTGTATCGAATGACCGAAGCACCTACAGTGAAGCTGTGCTGTGAACAGTTGGCTGAAACCTTCAGTTTTGATTAATGTTGCCACCTTTTGCCAGCTCAGTTGATTGCTCTGAAAGCTACAGGTAGAGTTTCAGGCTGCTGTGATGTAACAGTACACAGTAAAAGCTCTAGTTCTTCAAAAACACTGCAAGATAACCAAGAATGTCAAGACCTCGCTATTTCTAACAATACCAAAATAAACAATAGATCATCTTTACACGTTGTGCAGAGACTTTACAAGACAGAAAATAATCTGATTTCTTTCCAGACTTGTTAATTGCAGTGTCTTGACGTCTAAGTGAAACTTAACATTTTTTTTATCTCTTCATTGTTGTTTTCCAAAACGTTATGCGCATCTTATCCCTGTGAGGGGAAAATGTGTGCTCACTTGAATGATGTACGTCTGTTTGGTACAGTGAGCAATAATATGGCTAGTCACAGTTGCCCCAAAATCAGCAACTAGAACTGGGTATTCTGAATTTGATTTAAAAAATGATAATTTGAATGTGTGATAACACCAGGATCTCTCTATCTGCCTGCTGGGCTTTCTGCTTTACAGGTCACATTCTGGTTATATTTTTAGGCTTCTACTCATAATGGCAGAACACTTCATAAAACTGTAGTTGAGATATCTGTGTAGTCTTTGCCTCTAGGTACCAGAGGGCTGTGCTTAACAAGTTCTGATATAAAAATCATGTGGGTTGATGCTGTGGAGAATGAGCTGATCCCACCCTTTTGTTCTATATTATTTCTAATGTGAAATGGTGTTTGATAGGAAAAAAACTAACAATTGCTGATCCAGAAATGTTTGCTCAAATTGGTAAGTTATTGATAAGGACTTAAAAAAAAAAAAAAAAAAAAAAAAAAAAAAAAAAAAAGACTTCTAAAATGTAATTTGCTTTATCTTAATATCAAGACCTTCACCAGGCAACTATAGAAATTTTTCTTTCCCTTACTTATACTCTTGGTCATGCTGGAAGATTACAGTAGTTTTGTTAGTATGTAAAACAGTGGCATATGTCTGTGATTTTGTTTGTGCCTCTAAGAGTTTAAAAAATGGTGGAAGAGAATATTTGTTATTATTATTAGTATTGAAATATAAATCATGTATTGTTGTGTTTGTCTTTCTAAAGAAAAAAGCTTGATAGCTTCACTTCCAGCCCATTCTCATTTTTCAGTTTGCAGCTTAAGTGGAGACAGAGGGAAAAACAGATTTTATCACTCTATCAGATGAAAGGTGACTGGGAGCCATCCAGCTTAGACCACATATCATAATACATAATTCATACATCACATATCATATCACAACAACCCTGTCAGGCAAGTGAAATGCTGTCACACTTGTGTGAAACTGTTACAGACAGAACATCAGTCAGATATATTCAAAAATTATTCAACATAAGTTGCATTTTTGAGATCCAAACAGTATTGTTTTGATTGTTATCCCTGATTCTACAAACATACAATGGCTTAGTACAGGTTTCTCACTCACAAACAATATATTACTGTTAGCAGAATTCACTTTAAATTCTTTCAGCATCTTATTTATGTGTCTTCTGTTATCATTTTGCTTTCTTCCAAATATTAACAGATGGAGAGCTCTCCATACCAAATGAAGAAGGAGCTTTGGAGAATGGGCAGCCTCTGGGCTCTGGACAAGTGCTGAGCTCCAGCCAGGTATCCCTGCCAGCCCTAGCAGAACTGGAGTCAGGCTCAGCACCTGGGGAACCCTGCTCATACGAGGTGCTCCCAACCACAGAGATCATGGATGGGACAGGTAACATCTTGTTGAAGACCAAGGTCTTCTGGTGGAGAAGGAGATAAAGCAAATAGATTATCACTGAGTGCTCCATAAAAAAATGTTTGCTCTCTCAGCACAGCAGTAACTGCTGCTTCTACACAAGTAAAGTCTGCAAGTAAAGCAAAGTCTCTGCATTTTGTGAACTTATAGCTGTGGATTTCTCTCCTGCTACTTCTCAGGTGTGCCAGTGAGCTCAAGTGGTCTGACAGTATTTTTAAACCCTGGGGTATGTCTTGTCCTTTTCTCACCATGTGGTGTTGGGTGACATTTACATCATACAACTTTCAGTAATTAGCAGCCAGCTGCGCTGCCCTAGGTGAGGCTATCTAAGCTTCGTCCTCAATCTATGAAGAGAGACAACAATCTGTACATCTAAGTTAACCACTCATTCTGTGTAGCACTGAGAGTCATGGACGAAGGTCAGATGAGGAAAAGTGACTAGCAAAAGTGCCCATCTGCCATCAGGTGAACTGCGTGACCTCTTTGAAATGGAATAGCCCTTGTTAGGTGCTTTTACGGTTATAGTATTAATCTAAAGACCCCCTGCTAACATATAAGGTCCTGAGCAAGCTGTGGTGACAGACCATCCAGGATGTGACATTTGAAACATTTGCATTTGTATTCAACATGCGGGAATACGTCCCAGGCAGGCATACGGGAGCTGACTTCTGTCAGAGGTAATGGGAAATTCGTCTGTTGTGTAGATGCGTGTTACTCTTTTTCTTTCTTTCCTTCTTTCTGTGTTACACAATGTTTGAGTGAAATCTATGAGTCTTAACCTGCATTCTTGCTCTGCTTTTCACATTCTACAATGGCTGTATCCACTACTGCTTTGCTCGTAACATTGTTGCGTCTATTATGTGGTTGTGTCCTCCAGTGTCTGAAGAAAGCCCCACATCCAATGAATCTGGAGTCCTCCTGTCCCAAGATCCTACAGCTAAGCCAGTCCTGCTACTTCCCCCCAAAAAATCTGCTGCTTTCCCTGGAGACCATGAGGACACCCCAGTGAAACAGTTGTCCCTCCTCAAACAGCCCCCTGCCCTGCCTCCTAAACCTATTGCCAGGATTGCCAGCCACTTAACTGGTAAGTTGGTGTTCCTAGACCCTCAGCACTACCATTTCCCTTATAGGAAAAGCCTGCCCTTGTAGCAAGGTGCTCTGTGTCCTGTAAAGATATTCACCCATGTTGTTGTGTGTACTGGTAATGTGTGTGTTGTAACTAGGGCAGGTATCACTGAGCATTTTCAGGCTGCACCATCATCAGGGTTGCTTCAGGACGCTTCCCCTCTCAGACATAATTATCTAATGCCAGCACAGCATTTCCTTCACTCTTTTTTATCAAGATGTACCATTGCCACAGAAATTACAGAATGTGCATTGATGGGAAAGGAAATACCAGGAAAACACTGGATATCTTTAAATGCCTTTAATCATAAAGAGCATTGGGGTTGAGAGGAGAGGGAGAATTTTGCTTTCTGCTATTACTCTTTGTCACTTCTCCCCTCAACCACCATCTGGGCAGGTCCCTCTGCACACACCCTACATTTTTCCCTGTTTCTCTTTCACTTGCCCCCCTATCCTTACACAGGCTGTACTATCCCATGGCTTCTTGCCATTTTGGCTCCCTGTTCACACTTCCTGCCACCTGCTTCCTCTGGACTCCACTCTCCTGTCATTTAGGCCACTGAAACAGAGAATTATTTCATTTACATGGAACAAAAAAGGTTCCCTAAGTCCTTGCCTGTATCTTTTGAACAGTCTGCTCGTAGTTTCAGCCACTTGCCAGGATGTAATGCCTTGAAATCCAAGCTCAAGATGAGATATGGTTCATCTATGTAGTGGGGCAGCTCCCAGTGTTCTCACTGGGTTGCTCTTCTGGTGTTAATGCTACTCCAGCCTTTTCAGGGCTAATGTGAAAAATATTCAGTTTTCCTTGTTTTATGTAGCTTAAGAAAAATATCAGGAAAGAGCTCATTAGGGAAGAACATGTTTTGGTTTTCTCTCATAACTGTATGTGGTCTCTTCATGTTCCTGTTTGGATGGCTGCACATTTTTGTTCAGTATAGTTTTGTTCATTTTATGTGGAATCTCTTTGCTTTCTTGCCTGCCAAAATCTACACATAATTGCCTTATACTACAAACCAAATGGGCATTTCTGCAACCTGGAAAGCCAGGTAGCAGTATTAATGGCTTCAGGTGAGGAAAGTGACAGCTTCCTATTACCTTCCACTTCATTTTAATTACAAAAAACATCTCAAAAATGAGGCCAACATGAAGAAAATATTTAAAAATAATAAAAATAAAAAAGGAATAGTGTAGGTAAAAAAAATAAGGTGTAGGAAAAACCTCTGGTACTAAGTAGCCATCATTCAGAAGCCTTCCTTTCATGGAAGATAGCAGAAGCATTGCAGATGGGTGCTTCTGATGGTTTGGGGTTTTTTTTTGCAGCTGGAAATTTTGTGTGAAGTAGAATTGGTCTTAAGCATAAATCAATTGCTTGATGGTGATGATTTTCCAATTAAAGTGAAATATAACTGTGACTTCTCTTAGTTCATGGTAACCTTCACTCATCTCTCATTCGATCATAACTGACCTCTTGTATGTGCATATGGACAGACTGTTGTACATGTGGGAGAAAAGAGCTGAGATTTAGATTTGGTTAAGGCATTCCTGCTAGAACAGAAAGCCTCATTTGCACACACTTTATAAATAAAAGCATTAAGCTTATTCTTAAGGATCCATTTACATTCATGGTCTAAGGATGTGTTTGTTCAGCTCCTTGTGTTCTCCAGTGGTAATCATATTAGCCACGTATAATTTTTGGAAATGAGCAGTCAATCCTAATGAAGCACCCTCGTCAGTGAGAAGCAGAATTAAGGATATTCTTTTACTAATAACCCTAGAGACATCCTCAGCTTGTGTATGGGAAAACAGGTAAAATCTGAATCCTGGCATTTGAGGTGAAGATTGTTCTCTTTACACACCCATTTCTCTATTAAATATTTTTTGAGAATATTGAAGGAAAGATTAAGAGATTCTGATCATGACTGGTAGGAAGGAACAGTGGCCTGTTAGCTATCTCTGTTCAATAAGAGTGCAAGGGAAAATGTGACCTTGTGATGGAACACATTTCAGTCAGAAGTTACAGAAATGCCTCAATGTCTTAACATGTTTGTATGTATGCAAATACGTGCATATGCATAACTATTTAATGTAAATGTGTTTTTTACAAATGTAAATGGGAACGTAATATTATAAAATCACTAAAGGTATAAAATCAGTAAAATGATGTCCCTTTGGGGTCAGATCTGGGACCAATGCTCTTTAACTTCTTCATCAATGACAGTGACATCTGAAGGTTTGCAGATGACACCAAGATGTGTGGTGTGGTCAACATGCCTGAGGAACAGGATGCTATTCAGAGAGACCCAGACAGGCTGAGCAGTGGGCCCAGGCTCAAGCAGTGGACCTCATGAAATCCAAATGTGAGGTCTTGCACCTGGTTTGCAGCAACCCCCGCTATCAGTACAAGCTGGGGGAAGGAAGGAGAGAGCGTAGCCCTGCTGAAAAAGTCTGGTAGATGGCATGTTGGACATGAGCCAGCAATGTTCCCTCATAGTGCAGAGGGCTGCATCAAAAGAAGCATGGCCAGCAGGTTGAGGGAGGTGATCATACCCCTCTATTCTATGCTGGTGAGGCCTCACCTGGAGTTCTGGGTCTGCATGTGGAGTCATCAGTACAGGAAAGATGTGGACCTGCTGAAGTGATCCAGAGGAAAGCCACAAAAATGATGGAATGGGTGGAACATCTCCCCTGCAAATGCGGACTGAGAGAGCTGGGGCTGTTCAGCTTGGGGAAGAGAAGGCTCTGGGGAGACCTGAGAGCAGCATTTCAGTATCTAAAGAGGGGCTGTAAGAAAGAAGAAGACAGCCATGGCATGACTCTTCTCAAGGCCCAAGTGCCTTAAGAAGGGGATAAAGCCACGTGGGAATGGAGACGGGCCAAGAGCAGACTGTAGAGCAGTCACTGCAGGGGTGCCTCTGGTGCTGCAGAAGGGTGCTCGGTACTTTTCTCCACACCATCTCCCAATGCTCTTGGTAATGCTGCATCAGCACAGAGCATCCCTGTCACGGTACTGGGTGTGGAAATGCCATCACAGCCTCTCTCTAATTTTTACCCTGTTGAAACAAAGCAGCATGCCTCTCTTAATCGTTATTTGATTCCTTTCTAGCACAAGATGGGCAGGCCCAGCAGAAACATGCAATTCTTAATTGTTTCGATACTGTCAATCCACTGCTCTGCATTTCCTTTTGGCCTCCTTGTGAGCTCCTGCTGGCTTTCAAATATGATCATTATTATAGAAACTTCATGAGCAGAATTTCTTTCAATTTTCATTTTCCAATATCCACATGCAGTGCTCGGGCATTCAGGACAATGCTTCAGCCCCCGCATTTCATTGAAGATTAAGGAAGAACTGAAATCATCACCTGGGACCAAATTTAACTGAACTGCTGGGATTGAGTCTCTAGATTATCATAAAACTTTTAATGTCTAAACAACTCTTCCATAATTATGACACACTTATTACTTAACCATGTACAGGTTTGAGTGGTCACAACCCCATTGGGAACCAACATCTTGCAAAATTTCTCATTACTTTGTGCGTGGAGAATCTAATCTAAAGGAGATTAATCAGACTTGCACACCTGGCTTCACACAGTTGGCTTCTCTTCTGTCACATTAGTGTTTTGTGCAATGATTTAAAACTGTAGTAATCTTCTACAGAGAAGACAGTTATCACAGATTCCTTGCTCATATTTCTCCTACCCAGCTACTTATTTATCTACAAATGTCAATGTCTGATGGATATTCCATACTGGAGACAATAAGCATTTTTATCTCTGCTTCATGCATCACAAATATTGTGACATTAATAAAAGAAAGAACTGTAAAATGCAGTCTCTTTCAGGATTTAGGCACAATGGACAAGTCATTCTGACCTTTAATCCACAGTGGTGGTGGCATTTCTAGTAGTAAGCCTGGAACCCATGGGTTTGAGCAAAGTTCTGAACCATTTGTTCAGAACACTTGCTAATCAGTCCACTCTGTTTAATTTTCAGTGCACGGCTTGTCACCATTACTGATGACAGTGAAAACGTATTGATACGTTTCTGTGCGAAGGGATCAAACTTTCCTTCTGTTGCAGTCATTCTCCTTTCAGCCTTTTTTTTTTTTAACAGGCACATATAATTCTCCTGAAGGTAGACAGTAGACGAGTGGAGTTAATGGCTCTGGTTCACTTTCAAGGCTGCATTTAGACATTAGGAGCCCAAAATGCTAACCATACCCTGGGGTGCATCAGGCTCAGCACTGCCAACCGGGCAAGGGAAGGGGTTGTGCCACTGTGCTCTGTGCTGTATGGCCTCACCTCGAGCACTGGGGGCAATTGTGGGTACCACAGTATGAGAAGGGCATAAAACTATTACAGAGTCCATATAGGAGCTACAAAGATGGGGAAGGGTTTAGAGGCCAAGGCGTGTAAGGATGAGCTCAAGTCGTTTGATTCATTCAGCCCAGAGCAGACGAGGCTGAGGGGAAGCAAGAGATACCTGCAGTTGGAATCTCTTTTGAATTCACTCTGTATATCATGTAAAAAAAATAATGGTGTATCATGGCACAGACACCGTCAGGTGAAGATGTTAATTGAGCATACAACAGAAACAAATACAAAACTAACAGACAGATCTGCACTTTTCAATGTGAAAATGAAGATCTTAGGATAATTTTTGTAATTCAGGACGAGCTCCCGAAGTGAAATTGCCTGGAGCACAAATGTATGAACACATTTTGTTACTACAAACCCCATAGGAGCCTTATGCTCTCAGGGCTCTATATAATTTACTCCTTTTTCTTACTTATCTTCTATTGAAGATGTGTTCTTTTATGGAGAATACAAAAAGAAGATATACACAACTAATGTGTATGTAAGAAGAACACAGAAACGCAGTAACTTGGAGACCTGCTTGTGCTTGCAAAGAAAATCTTGAAAGTCTTTTTTTTCTACTGTACAGTAGACAATCTGCTTTAGTGGAGAGGACAGTGCCCTGTCATTTGGCAGTCCCCTGAGTTAGATTTCAGTCTTGATGAATTGGAATTTTTGCCTTCAAGAGAGGCAAGACTGAGCAGATATCATCTCTGTCAGGTGAAGTTTGTGGCTGTCAGGCAAAGTCTTGGTGACTAGAAAAAGGGAAATATCAGTGCCATATTCAAGAAAGGGAGAAAGGAAGACCCGGGGAGCTAAAGGCCAATGAGCCACGTGTTTGTGCCTGGGAATACCATGGAGCAAATCTTCCTGGAAGAAATGTTAAGACATATGCGAGATGTGGAGGTGATTTGAGACAGCCAACTTGGATTCACCAAGGGCAGATTGTGCCTGACCAGTCCAGTGGCTTTTTTTTGGAGTGATGGCATCTGTGGAGAAAGGAAGGGCAACTGATGTCACCTACCTGGACTTGTGCAAGGCCTTTACATAGTTCCACACCACATCATCATCTCTAAATTAGAGAGACATGGGTTTGAAGGTTGGACTATTTGGTGGATAAAGATACGGTTGGATGGTCATAGGCAGAGGGTTGTTGCCAGGTAGAGACCAGTCACAAGTGGTGTCCCCCAGGGGTCCATCCTGGGACCAGTGCTCGTCAACATCTTTATCAGTGACAGACAGTGGGTTTGCGTGTACCTTTCACAAGTTTGCTGATGTGGTGCAGTTGACACAACAGAAAGGCGGGATGCCATCCGGAAGGACCTGCACATACTCAAAAAGTGGACACGTGAGAATCTAATGAGGTTTAACAAGGCCAAGTGCAAGATGTTGCACTTGGATTGAGGCAATCCCAAATAAGAGTACAGGCTGGGAGAACTCACTGAGAACAGCTGTGTGGAGAAGGACCTAGGGGTTCTGATGAATGAAGAGCTAGACATGAGCCAGCAGTCTGCCAGCACTTGCAGCCCAGAATACCTACAGTATCCTGGGCTGCATTGAAACAGGAGTAGCCAGCAGGGAGAGGGGGGTGTTTTGTCTCCCTCTACTCTGTGCTTGTGAAGACCCATTTGGAGAACTGTGTCCACGCCTGGGGCCCCCAGTACAGAAGGAATGCAGAGCTGTAAGAGTGGGTTCAGAGGAGGGCCACAAAGATGACTGAAGGACTGGAGTATCTCTGCTATGAAGAAAGATTGAGGGAGTTGGGCTTGTTTAGCTTGGTGAACAGAATGCTCTGGGGAGATCTCGGAGGAGTTGGAACCGAGTAATCTTTAAGGTCCCCTCCAACCTCAGCCATTCTATGATTCTGTGATATGATACTGCACTGAAAACAGAAACACTTGGGTTCTCGCATCTGCAACTATCCTACTCCACAATTTGGAAAGACCACTATCTGTCCATGCCTCTGTTTCATCTTTGCACACCCTTTTCCTCCCTGGTCTCTTGAAGAAAGGGAAGGCTTGCTATTTGTGTGGGCTTCTTTGTTCTAGAGTAACATCAGTTTCAAGTGGGTACTGTGGGTGCAGTAAAGCATCCACAGTAGCACTAAGCAAAGTCCAATACCATGAATGAGCTTGGCATTATGCATGGTCTTCTTCCTCCTTACTGTCCTTAAGTGTTTCCACGAAGCATTAGATCTTATAAGTCTTGGTATTGACCTTGTGCACCCTGGCTAGTAGATGTGGATACTAGTACAAGCAAAACCCAGCATAGTCCATAAGGAGGGAAGGATAAAGAGATCAGGGAGAATGGTAGTTAACACTAAGAAGTACCATCTGGAAAAGGTCTTTAAAAATCAGATATTACTCAGGAGAGTGATGTCATTTAAAACTAGAGGAAGCAGCATCTTACTGGCAAGCTTTCTTGGGCCATAAGAAGATTCTGACCCTTCAATTCCTTTACCATTTTACAGCAAGAAGTATGAACTGAAGCTACAAGAAGCCACAGAGCATGCAGAGCATTGCAGAGCCAAATGTCTGGGGTGGGATGCCATGCTATGTAGGGCTTGGCCTTGCAGCTCACAATATATATATATTTACTACCATTTTCTTTGCTGCTAGCATATTCTGTGATCATTCCCCACACACATTTTGGGAACTCCAAGCCATCCCATTACCTCTTCTCCCTTTTGAAACCCTTTCACTGTGCAGCTCCAAAAATCTGCGTCCCGCAGCCTAGTCCAGGCAGAGGTGTTTGTTTATGGACTTCCCTTGTCTTTCTGTGGAAACCAGGGGAATCTTTGCTTGACAGAACAACTATGTTATTCTGTGTTATAACATCGAATATAACATATAACATATTCTTTGTTATTCTATGTTATATAATGTATATTCAAGAATATTTCTGGAGTTAAAAAGGTTAAAATTAGAAGAGCGTCTGCCAAGTCTTCTGTAAAATAACGTGTTAATCCTAACTATCTTCCACCCTTTACCATCTTCTCCTGTATCCTTTTTTTTCCAGGTCACTCCTATTTAACATTCAAACCCTATCTCATTTCTCTTTTGCCCTTTAATGTAGTTTTTGACACCAGATTTTTTGCACCTTACAAAGCTGTAAGAGAGGTGACTTGTAGTAATTGCGCTGCAGTAGCTGAGAAGGGTCAGGTATGCCTGAGCTTTCATTCCAGCAGTGATGGCGATGAGTCCTCCCATCGCTTCAGACTTCAAACTGCTTTCCATGTTTCAGTGCCTGTTGAGTAGGAGAGGTTGTGCTTACTTTTCAGGGCTGGTTTGGGGGATTAGTGCTTTAAGGTATTGAAATGTGCCACAAGCCTTGTTAAGCATTGCTTACTGTGTTTCTTAAGGGGCACGTGCAACCTTGGGATGTTTTTGTGAGACTCAGATCTGCTGCAAAACAACCGATCTTTAAAAAAAGACAGTGCTGAATGAAAGCCATGCAGAGCTGTCTGTCACATGGGGGAGGGGAAGCACACACCTGCGTTGATTAGCAAACTCAGTACCTGCTCACCCTGGCACTGCCATGAAAATTAACACCAGGGCCTCTCTTTCTTCTGTTGTAGATCCTGGCGCTCCTGTGAAACTGCCTTGTATGCCAGTTAAACTGTCACCTCCACTACCTCCAAAGAAAGTCATGATTTGCATGCCCTTAGGGGGGCCAGACCTCTCCTCTCTCTCATCCTATTCCACGCAGAAGAGCTCCCAGCAGCCTTTGACTCAGCACCATCACACTGTCCTGCCATCCCAGTTAGCAGCTCACCAGCACCAGCTCCAGTACGGCAGCCACAGCCAGCACCTGCCTTCTGGATCCAGCACGTTGCCCATACACCCTTCAGGGTGCCGGATGATAGAGGAACTGAACAAAACACTAGCCATGACCATGCAAAGACTAGAAAGGTAATGGATCAACTTTTAAAAAAATGTATTAATGTGCACTGTTTTCCTCCTAGCCTCAATGTCCGTTGTATAACCAAGATGTTATAATTGCAATATAATCAAAAGAGTAAGGCAAAGCTGTATAATCAAGATGTTATAATTGCAATATAATCAAAAGAGTAAGGCAAACAAGGATCACAAAAGAGAATAAGTAGAAGAGCTTACCCTTGGGTTGAGCT